GACGCAGTTATTGCGGCGGGTGGTTTGCATATCATCGGTACAGAGCGTCATGAATCGCGGCGGGTTGATAATCAGCTACGTGGTCGTTCGGGGCGTCAGGGTGATCCGGGGTCATCACGGTTCTTCTTATCATTAGAAGACAGCTTAATGCGGATCTTTGCATCTGAACGTGTAAAGTCGATTATGCAACGCTTAGGTATGGAAAAAGGCCAAGCAATCGAAGCCAAAATAGTCTCCAAGTCGATTGAAAATGCACAACGCAAAGTAGAAGGGCATAACTTCGATATTCGTAAAAATCTGCTGGAATACGATGATGTGGCCAACGATCAACGTAAGGTGATTTATGAGCAACGTTCGGAATTACTGGAAGCAGAAGACGTTAGCGAAACCATCGAAGCCTTAAGTGACGATGTGGTTTGATACGCTAGTTGTGAAATACATTCCACCCGGAAGTCTGGATGAGCAATGGGATATTGAAGGTTTGACCGCTGCGCTGAAGGAAGAGTTTGCTTTAGACTTGGATGTACAGTCTTGGTTAGATGCAGATGATGATCTTTATGAAGACACCTTAATCGAGCGTATTCAAGAAGCCTTGCGCGAGTCTCTGAAGTATAAAGAAGACCTGATTAGTTCTGAAAGTATGCGTCGTTTAGAGCGTGATGTCATGTTGCATGTACTGGATTCTCAATGGAAAGAGCATCTTGCGGCGATTGACCATTTGCGTCAAAGTGTGGGTTTACGTGGGTATGCACAAAAAAATCCTAAACAAGAATTTAAACGTGAAGCCTTTGAATTATTTGAAGATTTACTCACCAATGTTAAACACGATGTCATCGTATATTTAGCCCGTTTGCAAATCACCATGCCAGAAGAAGCGCAAGCATTAGAAGAAAGCTATGAAAAATCACAACACCATGATGATTTAGAGTTTGTACATGCTAATGCAGATAGTGCTTTAGGCGGTCCAGAAGCAGAACTCAACCCAGAACCGATGAAACCTTTTCAACGAGAACAGAGAAAAGTAGGACGTAACGAG